GTGGGCGGCCTTGTACGCAAGAGGTTCTGAACAGGGGGAGATAAGGAAGAAGATAAAAAACTGAATTCACTTTTTCCTGTTTTTTATTCTTTTTTTAAATATTTTTTTCGCATTTGCGCTCTGATATTTTTGTGACAATATATATATTTTCAAAATATATGCTCTTTGTTTTTCTCTTGGGGACATACTCGCACCCGGGATGTCCCGGATATGACCGCTTTGACTAGGGCAGGATGCACCTAACCTCAACCCTGAGGCAGAAGTTGTTCAATTTATTTTTCTGCATAACATAGTTTGTTTTTGGATTTTTTTTTTTTTTTTTTTTTTTTTTTTTTTTTTTTTTTTTTTTTTTTTTTTTTTTTTTTTTTTTTTTCCCGGGGGGGACATGGGGGACCATTTCTCGATTTAGGGCCGCGCCACACCACTGTCGAAACGAAAAGAGCCCGAATGCATCTGCCGCAGAAAGTGCTAAGATGCATCAAACAAATCGCATAGTGATGGATGCATCTTGCCCATCGAAGCGGTAAAGGTGAACTGGTTCCTTTCTCGTTTAGACAGTGGTGCGGCGAGGCCGTTCCACCAAGTGTCATGCTTGCGCAGGGGGGGCATGCTCATCTATTCCGTATCGTTCCCATTTTGATGGATGTTCCGAAGGAGTAGTCTCTGGGTTATTGCTGCTTGAGCATGTTTGTTTTTCTCGATGTCTGTCTTCGATGTCCTCTACCTCTCCTCTCTTTCCCTTTTGTTCTGTCTCCATTGAACTATGTGAAGTGAGTAGTGGTGTGCGTGGGGGAATCGAAATCTGAGTTAACTCCAACTGGTTCAGCTCTTTTTTTTGAGATGGGACACCCATAGTAAGCTGCTGAAACACAGACCTGAGTTGGAATCGGAGGGGGCGGGGGGGGAAAGAACCCTAAATTACCCGGCGCTCGTTTGGGCCAATATGCCATCTCAAAGCTTTTGTCCTTTCACGAAAGAAAAGAGAGAGAGAGAGAGAGAGAGAGAGAGCCCGGCGCTGGTTTGGTGAAATATGCCATCTCAAAGCTTTTGTCACACAGAGAGAGAGAGAGAGAAAATTCCTTTCACGCGAGAAAGGAGAGACGAGAGAGAGACAGACAAAGTTAAAAGCGTCATGTTTCGTTTCCAAGAGAGAGAGAAAAGTCCTTTCACGCGAGAAAGGAGAGACAAGAGAGAGACGGGAAAATGGAAAAAAGCACCCTTATTTTAGGAATCGAAACCGGCGAAGTTTCCGGTCTGATACAATCCTACCGAGCGTGCGTTGTGTTCGGTTGAAGACGGTGAGGTCCTCGATTTTTTTTATTTTTATTTTTTGTTAATTTATTCCCCCCCCCCCCCCCCCCTCCCCGGGAGAATCCTCGAAATTCTCTCGTTCACCCTTTTTGTTATGTCCAGTTCATGGGACAGCCAGGAGACCATTGCTCATCGAAGAGCGCTTGAAGTTTTCGACTATTGCACTAGAAGCTTGGCCTATTGCACTAGAAGCTTTGACTATGGCGCTAAAAGATTTGACTATCGCGCTAAAGCCGTCGACTATCACGATATATTAACTCTCTAGACTGTTTGGGATTGTTTTTTTTTTGTTTTTTTTAAGCATGAAATATTCCAAAAGACTGGGGGACGTTTCCTGAACGTCGTTGTATTTTTTTATTTTTTTTTATATTGAGCATGAAATATTCCAAAGGACTGGGGGACATTTTTAAACGTTTGGTAGATTCCCACGCAACGCACGCAATACGCACCCGCTCGACACTTTGTTTTTTGACTGGGAAAACTACTCCAGGGGCGTGGTGCCAGTAGCAAAGAGGATCGGATCGAATGCCTGCGTCTGGACGTGTTTGTAGAGAGGTGCAGGAAATCGAGATCGAACTGCTTTTCTGCATCTCTGCATAAAACACATCCAGATTAAGGCATTCGATCCGATCCTCTTTGCTACCGCTAGTGGGACCTCGGCCCAGTAGTTTTTTTGTTGATATTTTCTTTTTCTTTTTCTTTTTGTGAAAGTATGCTGGCAGTGTATGAAAATCGAAATCTAAAAAAAAATAATAATAATAAAAAAAAAATCGAAATCTGAGCGAAAGTATGAAGCACACCATACCCACACCGAGTTCACCGCCTGCCTGAGGACTTGGCCCCGCCGGGGACCTGACGATTCAACCCGGAAGTCATGGGGGCCATTACCAAGCTTCCTCTGCGTTATGTTGTGGTGCCGTCTTCCCCCGAACATAATGCACCCTACAAATGACTGTATACAAGCTTTATTTCCGGCCAGATACAGCCAAAATAAGGGTGCGTTGTCTTCGGGGGAAGACGGTAGTACTGTGAGCGCGCTACACATCCGGAATATTCTTTTGCCCCACGGAGAAAATAAGGCCGCGCAACGCCGCCCGCAGTCGATATGTGCCGCGCAGTTCTGAAGACAGGGACAGGACCGCCCCTACCGGTAGTGGGACTTGGACCCCGGTCCCAGCGTCTTCGTACCTAGCGCTAAAACAGCTTTCCAAAACAAAACAAAAAAAAAAATTCCAGAGTTGCCCAAGTTCACTTGCCCGGCCGGGCCAAAAAGAATTAAAAAAATAAAGAACGTTTTTTAAATTTTAAATTTTATTTTAAATTTGGCAAAGAATTTCGATGTGACGCTGAGGCAAAAGTTGTTCAGTTTATTTTTCTGCATAACATAATGTTTTTTCGGATTTTTTGGATTTTTGTTTTGGTTTTTATTGGGCTGGGACCTGCCCTAGTCCTTGCACGGCCGGGCCGCCCGGGAAAACAGGATGACCCGGGCGGCCCGGCTGGGAGCCTAGAAAAAAAAATAAAAAATAAAAAATAATAATAATAAAAATAGTAATCAAACTAGGCTACCAGCCGGGCCGCCCAGGTCCCGGGTGGCCAGCCCGTGGGACCTGCCCTAGAAAAGTAATTTTAAAGACTTGAAAAAAAAAAAAAGGCGAAGGTACATTTCCCAAGATGGGAAGAAGTCGGACTTTTGAAAGTGCAGCCGTCCCACTAACCCTCCCGTCTCCACCCTCTGCTCCCCACCCAGCCAATACCTAATCAGGACAGAGTGGTACGTGACTGTTGGAATCTCGCATACCACCTCGAGGGAGTCCCTTCGTGTGCCTGATGGGACTCCCTCCTCTGACGGTTGCCATGCTGAAGCGTGCATTTCGTATATTTTGAGAGAATCGAAGTACTGGATGGGGTAAACAATTGACCCGGAAAAAGAAGGGGGTCAAAATTATGCCCTTCGAGTACTTGATTTTTTTATCTTTTGAAGAGCTGCCAATTAAAATGAGTTTTTCTATTTTCTTTTCCCGCCTCTATCTTGGGAACTGGAAAGAAAAAGCACAAAAAAAAAAAGAAAAAAACACCACTTCAGAATATAAATCCCTCGCAATTTTGCTGCCATCCGATTCTCCTGCATCAGTGGTCGGACGATGTCCCGC